GGAGAGGAAAGGGATAAAATATTAGTTGAGCTCTGTTTTCAATTTTAACATCCAAGGATTTTCACAACCACAGCACGTGATTTATTAAGGGATTTAACAGTTACTGGTTTCATAACAAACTGCGCTATAATTCTTTACAGTAAGTACTACCGTTTAAAATTTCAATTATCATTAAAACTGTGTTTGATCACCAAGCTTTGAAAAACTCACCGTCCAGCATAAACCAAAAGTAGCAACAGTGTCCCAGATGCATGGCAAAATGGTGCCAACTTATATGTTTACATGAGGTATTGGCTATTGTTATTATTTTAGTGTTCATGCAAACAAAAATGCAAATTGCTACTGATTTTACTTGTGGTGGTGATTTCGGTGTGTGCATCAGTATATTTGAATATTTTCAGCTAGAGCTGCAACAATTTATTGCTTAATTGTCAATTATTAAATTAATCGCCAACTAATATGAGAATCAAGTAACTGATTTAAGTCATTTTTTAAGGGAATAAAGTCAAAATTCTCTAATTCCAGCGTCATAAATGTGATTATATTCTGGTTTCTTTACTTCTCTATGACAATATACTGAATATCTTTAGGGTTGTGTGGACCAAACAAGAAATTTGAGGACATCATCTCAGGCTTCCAAAAACACTCATCGCCATTTTTCACCATTTTCTAACATTTTATAGACCAAACAACTAATCAATCAACAGAAAAAATAATCAACAGAATCAAGACATTAATCGACAATGAAAATAGTCATTAGCTGCAGCTCTATTTTTAGCACATTTCTTCTGTTATGATAACTGTGATAAATTTGGTCAATTCATGTCATGACATTTTCATACAGTTTCATCTGTAGTTCTGACACATATACAGATTACTATGGTGGCCTACCCAAACTAATTTGCCCTGATCTTAAGATATGGTTTCATATGCTCAGTTTCCAGTTTACTAGGTAACCCTAGCCAAAACTAAAACCCAAGTATAATACAATTCCACCTTCACGATGGTTATAGAGTTCAGCTTTTGTTAAAGCAGTTAGAAAGATGTTTGACTCAACTCACTGATCATTTTGAAGAATTATTGTTGTTCATATTATTGAAGGTTTATTGTACTGCATGCACCAAACACCAAAGCCAATTCCTCATAAGGGAAACCTACATGGTAGTTAATATTTTTCTTCTTCTGATGTAATTTATGGTGTTACTGAATTGTATTGTGTTAGGCTGAGAGGTGTCTCTACCTTCATTGATAGAAATGAAGTGGTTATAAAAAGAAGTGATCATTATAACCATCCTGAACACAGTATAAAGTCCAGTTTCAGATAGATGTACAAATATTGGCCAGTGAGTGTACCGTAATATGTATATTCTATATAAAGTGCAGATAAAATCTCAACATGTAAAAAATATTGAACACAGCCACACTCAGAGATGTGCATATAGCCGTTATCTGCACTGACCTTCTTGTAAGGAGACCAGAGGTGGCATGTGATCTGGAATGTAATCCTTCCTTTCCTCTGCATCTCTGGCTCCAGGCTGGGGAAACTGCAGGAGGTTGTTTTTGCTGACAGGAAAGAGTGGAGTTTGATGGGCAAAGGCCACAGGCTCCAGGTTGTGGACGTAGTCCTCCAGTTCACTCAGACTCACCCCCAGCAGTCTGAAGGCCTGGCTGACGTCGTCCAGGACTGGATCTGTTCTTCCATCTGAAATGCAGCATCATAACAAGCCATTATACCTCAGCACACACTCCGCATGCCTCTTGTTCACTGAGCTGAGGGCTGATAAAAGCCTGGGACAAAGGTTTGACAGCATGTTGGTGGCTGTGCTGCACATACAAGAAGGTGCCCTGACTAATGTTGACATTCAACCTGGAGCAAGAAGTAACGCTCAACAGGTCCAGGACTGACTGAGTGAATCATTTCACAGACAGGAGTACTTATGTAACTAATGCACGTGACATAGACTGGCACAATGCAGTGACCACAGCTGCAAGGCATCATAGCCACAACAACAACAATACATGGAAGCTACTTAGCCATGTAGCTACTGTACTTTTTGACACATCAACCTTTGCTAGGGGGCGCCAGCACCAGAGCCAGTCAACAACAACGTGATCGACTACTTCGGGTTTACGGGTTTAAAAAGTAATCAAGATACTAAAGGGAGCACTTACACAGCTCAGAGTACCGATGGCAGACCCTGGCCAACTGCTGGATATATCGATGCAGCACATCGGACAGCAGATCGCACGCAGTGAGCTGAACCGCATCCCAGCCCAGAGCCTGGCAGATCTGCGCCACCGAAACACGCAGTAGCGAGCGGGCATAGCTCTCGCACATCTCGCTGACTTTGTTACGGTATTAATCCCGGTCAGTTCCTCTTCCAAAACATGTTCCCGGTCTTCATGTTTCACGGAAGCCCTCGGGGGCTTGAGAAAACCCGCTACCGCGGTTAATTTTGGACATCTACTTCAGTAAATATATTGGCGCTTTTGCCAGAGTCGCCATCTTGATTCCATCGATAGACCCATCCCCGAAATCTAGACCGCGCATGCGCAGAAATCAGTGTCTGCCTACACGGCTGTGCTGTGATCGAGCGGGTCATCAACGTCTGAAGATGCGCAGCACATTTGTCATAGTACACACGTTAGTTCACATTTGTAGCTAATATTTGGCACAAACTGCCGCAGTTAACGTGTTGGACTGGTGTTAAATGTTCACTGCAGTGGTGGATAAAGAAGACTTCGTGAACGGCGGAAGGAATTTGCTCAAAACCAGTTTTAAACGTGTAAAAAACACCGACGATCAGTTTCGGTTTCCGCTTCACATCCGCTGTGTCACTCAAGTTGGAGGAAACACCGGCTGCAGTTTCTGAATCTGAAGCCTCTGCAAAACTACAGAAACCGTTTAATTCAGTTTAACGTTATATTCAGTAGTTATTGTTCTGCGGGGCGTGAAGACTAATCTTTATACTTATTTTAATTTTTTAAAAAGCGGCAAGAGAGTGGGTCCAGTTTCATTTCCTGTTGTGTTGTTTTCGAATAACAAGCAGGCAGTGACTTGGACACACTCTTAAATTTGGGCTGCCAAAATTTCTATTTATCTAATTTAGTCTCATAATAGTAACTAAACTAAGCAGTTCACTTTGAAATAATAAATGAGATTTACATGTAATGACTTCTTACATCAAAGGTGTAATTTAAATTTGAATGTTTGTACTTTCTGTAACTGTAACTTGTAATTTAACTAGGACATTTAACTAGGACACTTTTTTCAATATTGGTTGACTTATAATAATCAAAAATATTATGATTTTAAATTATAAAGGTTTATAAAGGAAATATAAAAAAGGAAAATCAAGGATTTAAAGGATGTCCAACTGGAGGACAAGAAAGCAGAGTTTGGGATTAATAATTTAATTATTTTGGCAAAATATTTTTTTCACTTTTTTTTCTTATAAAACCTGCATTTATAAATGAGAAAATTCTATACAAAAAAATATGTAAAATGCTGTAAAATTTGAAAGGCCCTATGTCTTTGTACCTTAATTCCTGAATGACCACTTGCACTTTTTTGTTTGTCATACATAATTTATTTCTGTCTTGCACTTTGCTTGGTTATGTTAATACTGTCATTTGTATTCAGATGTTTTTGGCTGTGAGGGTCCGAGGACAGAGAGAGGTCGTATGCTGTAATGGCCTCTGAGACAAATTGTGATTAATTAATATTAATATTGGGCTTTGTAAATAAAATAAACTTGAATGTAAATATGATATGATGTGCTTTTTTTGACTGTAAATAAAAACAACAACAACAGTAATAAGAATAAGAATAATGATGATAATATGGTAATTAAACTACAGTGGGTGGTCCTGGATTTAAATCCAGACAATTTTGTCCTAACTTTAAAAAAAATTATTTCAGGGGTGTTCAAAATTTTATAAATGTAGGCCAGTTTAGAAAATGTGGAAGCACCTGGGGACTAGCTGCTTCTTGCATCACGTGGGTCATCAAAAAAAAATAAATAAATAAAAGCCATACAAATGAGACAAATGGTACTGTTTCATCTTCCAGTGTATTCAACACTCCACCTCTCCTGAAAGCGATGACCCTTGCAGTCGACTTTATGCTTCTCTGCTGTGTCTTCTGCATAGCAGGAAATGTCTGTTGTTAGGTAACCATTTGTTTGCTTGTTTACCATCTATTTATGAAAACACATTTCTGCCTATGTATTTCCTTCTTGGTGCATGTCTCCAAATTGTATGATAGTCCTGGCATGGTGAGTTGAATGTAAAAAATGTAAAATGATCTTGCCTGATTGACCACTATTGTATGATGACACATGTAGTATATTTTCAAAGACAAGCTGCTGGCTGTTTATAAGCAGTCTGCAGGCCACAACGGGCTCTCGGGCCAGACATTGGACATGCTGCCTTATTTCCATTAATTTCAGGTCCTATTTTCTATTAGTTTTACAAACATGTTGTTTTATTTACAAGACAAACTCATGTCCGCCCCCCTCTTTTTTTTTTCCTCAACAAATTTACAAACCTGGTCTGATTCATATACAGACCATTCACCACCTCAATCTAACATTTAAATTTGGAGGGCAAAATAATTCTAATTTGGTTTAAAATCACATCTCAAGTTTAACAGATCTTCGGTGAGTTGTGCTGTAAGATTTTCTGGGATAAATCCAACTTATGTTCAGTGTTGTCTCATCCAGAGAGTTTTATTCTCAGTGAGGCCCTCTCCTGGTTAAAGTCCTCACTTCTCATTTTCCATTGCATGTATCCATTATGTGTGTCACTCTACCTACACACAAAGACAGTTCATTTGAGTCTATTTACAGCCAGATGGCAGCAACCTCATCCTTTTGTAAACAGTCATAGATCTTATTTCTGGAAGGATGATCTGTGAGTGGCAACACATAGTGTAGTGTGAGTAGTTCATTCTTCAGCTTGTATGAATGTTTTCTTTCTTTCTTTTTAAAGCAAAACAATTACAGAAACCACTTTATTCTCAGTCAAACTGCTCTTGACAGAGTCATGAAATATAAACATAAACAAGTGCTGAGTTTGTTACATTGCTGTGCACCAACTATTCAACACTCATGAGTTAAGAATCACTGTCAACAACCTAAACAGCGAAGAGTAGTATACTTAAATATATAAAATATACAAACAGGCTAATTTAGCTTTGTCGCAATTGTGTCAATTTATACCTAAAAACAAACACTAATAATGATTGTGCGGCAAATGTTTGAGATCAGGACTGAAAAGAAAAACTAAATATACACTGTAAAAAACAATAAAAAATATAATACAAGATGCATACAGTATATACAGTACACCTGCCTGTATATTGGCATTTTTGTCACGATCCATTAACTGAATGATAACTTAGTTGAGAAATGAAACAAACACAAAACATGTCAAATAATAAATCAATAATTATTGCTTCATACAAAAAAGCTGAACTGATGTACTCAAGAAAAATAAAAGAACTGTTAACCTGCAAAATGACCATTTGTATATCAATTACTCACCGTTACCTTGTAGTCGTGAAGAAAACTGTTTTTCTCTAATGCCTCTACGGTGAGCGAACGATCCAATAATGGTGAACATTCTTCATGAATTGAAGTTAATGGGGACCGCATTTAACAACAGCAAAACTATATCAAAACATCTGTTAACAGACAATCACATAACTTGTGCAGTATAGTCCAAGTCTCAATTATCCAGCCATATGCTCAGTACATTACAAACACATGTATTTTCACTTAAACATGACAATATAAAACACCTCCACCCACAAGTAGTACCCCTGAGTGTGCCTGAGCAATAGATTGTATAAAATAATGGATGGACATCACCCATTGGTTTGTGGACTCATGTTTTGAAGCCTTGAGTTTGGCATTTGGGATGATGCCATCTTAGCTTTGTGCAGCCAGAAGTGACCGTATTTGGACGAGAGGCTGTAGCTGTGGAGGAGTGGAGATGCCAAAGACCGTATCTGCAGAGAGCCTCTTTCTCAAAGCAGCCAGCCCTTAATTATGCATAATTTTAAGCCTTAATAAAATGGAAAACTGGGGGGTTATATAAAAAAATCACCCCTGTACAGTTATCATAAAGGAGGAAATTACTTATGTAGACCAAAACGGTTTCCATACCAGGCTGTAAACATGTTTATTTCTGCTGTAAAGTTGGGCCTTTTAACATGGAGGTCGATGGAGATTAACTTGCTTCTGGAGCCAGCCTCAAGTGGCCATTAGAGGAACTGCAGTTTTTTTGCATGCACGTTAAACTTCATTTTTTCAGCACAGCAGGTTTTCTCTTGGCCTGAGCACACGTGTGCATATCAGAGTTCAAATGCATGGGCATATCCAGGCATGCTACTCGGCCGTGAATGAGACTGTTTGTACTAACTTGTTTTAAATCATAATTTAGTGAATATGCATGTGTGGGGAGCACTGAGCAAATGACAGGATGAATGAGACTTGAATTATAATGCAGAAGTTGTGTGAGAGTTTGTCAGCAAATGTTTTGATATAGTCTTGCTGTTGTTAAAAGTGGTCCCTGTTTACTTCAACTCATGAAGCATGTTAACCTTTTTTGGATTCTCCGTTCACGATGGAGACATGCAAGAAGACCAGTTTTCTCCACAAAGTCAAGGTAACACGATGAGTGACTGTTACACAAGTGGTCATTTGCGAGTGAAGTATTCCTTTAAATGTAGTATTTTTGAAATTGTGGGTAAATCTCTAGTTTCTCCTCACATTCAGTGAGTGTTTTCATTGTTGTGTTCTTGAATTTGCACAACTTAAATGTGCCCATCAGACCTTTTCCAGCTCAGGCTGTAAATGTTTCGCTTGGAGAACACATCAGGAAAGAGCTGAAAGTCATTGTTAAAATTCCATTCCTTCCGAACGTGCTGTCAGTTGTTGAATCTGTAACAATAAAAAAACAAACATGTCATTCCTTTATGCACTGCACAATAAATAAAAGCTTTACAGGTTAACTCAGAGACAGTGTCGAAACTCAACCAGCACTATGTGACTTTTGGGGATCAAATTCACCTTGCTGGTTTTAAGGCACCGGAGCACTCAAAGCTATCACTCTATATATCACTTATATATTTGCAATGTTTATAAAATCTTGCTAACAACATCTTCGAATTGAACCCCAATATTATATGACTCATTGAATGTAAAGGAACAGTTAATGTATTAGTGCATTAGTGTCTCACCAGTTATAAAAACAGGGTAACGGGCTGATATGTTCTGGACCTGCAAACGGACCAAACATGTCAGATAGTCAGGCCGATCTCTTGACATGAGGTCACACTCATGGTACGGCATAACCTCCATAATTCCAGCTTCTTGGCACCAGTTAAGGAACTGCTTCTTCTCTTTTGCCTCTGCACTCAACCTGGATATGGGAAGAGACAAAATGTTTGGACAGGCAACAATGTGATGAAAAGGCTTTTATAAAATAAACAATCAGCGTAACCATTCTGTATAATGACTGTGAAAATATAAGGAAAATATGTGAAAGAGCGTGATATATGGAATGGAAAAACATGAAAAAAGACAGACTTTTAAAACACTTGTCACCTGCTATATAGGGAAGTAAGAAATAACTGGGGTTTTTTTTGTAGTTATGTTTCTAAAGTTGACCCCTACCTTGCATTTTCCTTCAGTCTACGGCTGTCTCTGTAGTGCAACATCCATTTCCACTTCCCCGTTCTGCTTAGCTCTTTCAAGATTTCTGCCATTTTTTGCATGTTGCCTTAAAATTCATACAAAGATGATATTGTGAGTTAAACTGGGATAAATTATAAGGTGCTTTCATGACAACATCTTAAACAACAGTAAGCTGGTATTCAGTTAAAATTGCACATACATAGGCTGAGGGGCTCCAGTGCTGCTCTGTCGAACATTATAAAGCCACCCCTGGTGAACAGCTCCTGATGGGTGAGATTCACGACATCATCTGGTTCGTCAATTCCAGCAAACTGCACACCTGGTGTATTTTTCAGCTCGAGCAAGCGCGGGACCTGAGGTGGTGGTGAGCAGAGTCATTAATTCATGATTATCTACTGCAAAAGTCCCATCATGATCTTCTTCACCAGCTGATCAGTTACCTCACAAATGTGCTCTGCAATGTCTTCATTCCTGAGAATGATGAGTAGAGATGAAGCACTATCCTCACTAAGGAAGAACTCGGATGGCTGTACAGCTGTGTGGCCCTCTGCTTCTAACTGTGCCTTTTGGAAATCAAGGAGAAATTACCAAAACGTTAAAAGCCATTTTCCATTAGACATTACATTAATAAAGACATGTAAACCTGGAAATGCGTTAGCCTTGGTTTAATGTCTGAATCATAACCCCATTTAAAACCATCTGTGTTTTTTTAATGATACTCCTGCCAAATTGTATGTTTTGGTTATGAAACACTCATAAGAAGATCAGAGGCTGTGATCAGTTTGGATTCAAACCAGTTATGACAGACTGAACTCATATTTACTCATCCCTTTTTAAATGTTATGATCAGAAGTTCTTTATTATTAAAAAAGGAAGAAATAAGGGCTTACAGGAAAATATCAGAAATGCTCCTTTTCTTAGTGAAGCGTATTTGTGTTTGATTAGTTTCATGTAGCTAGACCTATCTACATAGTGCTGTGTTAGCGAGTTGCGAGTGTTTGTTTTTATTTCTTTAAACCAATCGCAGTCGTCTTGGGCAGCACTAAGACCAGGATGCATGGACGGTGCCTTTGCAAAATAGTGTTGTGGGTGAATTTATTTTGATGAATCATTTGCACATGGTAAGGCGAGCATTGTCATTAAAATGGCACAAAAAACATTAATAGTTGTCTATCACTTTAATACAACTCTTAGTGGTAAAAAAGACCAACATAATTTGATAATCAGTGCTCAAGAGGTGAAGCATGACTATATTTTAGCTCTGGAAGAACTCACTAGACTCCTTAACACCACAGATGATTTGCTGGCTATGTGACTCTTGTAGAACATTATTATGGCGATATCATAGAAACTTGTGTGATGTGGAACAGATCGGTACATTGGTTAAGTCACTGTCTTTGGCACATGCTGCTGCCATAGTTAAAAGATGTGGCCAATCAACTTTGACTGGCTGTGTCACAGAACCTATCAACATTGGGCATTAAGAGTCCCACAAGATGGAGTCTGGGCTTTTTTGACGTGCATTCACAAGTTGTTTTATTCGTTGTAGATCTTTATGACAATTCAATGAAAGAACAAAGCAGGCATGCCTTATTGCATGATCTAAATCTTCGTCAAAACTTGCAAACTGGTGTTAGCAGTGCAACATTTCATCTTAACACTTCAAGTGTGACTTTGATATTTCGATCATAATTCCTGACCAAAAATTGCAGAAAAATATTTTAGTCAATGTTTATGTAATCTCTAGCGATTCAAATCTTAATTATATAAGCCAACCTTGGTAGTTTTGTTACATTTACGTAGACTCTGAGTAAATGCATAGAATTGCTTTCACATTAGGTAACATTAACAGTAGCTATACAAGTAAACAAGTAGACTAGTTTACTGCAGCAAGTCAACAGAAAAGAAAGAAAACAACTCACTGCAACATTGCCATTTGAGTGACAGATTCATTGTTAAGAAATGGTCAAAGAGATATTTCAGTCCCAAAAGTTTGGGTGTGGCAGGCCACCGAAAGTTAAAGAATGTGGTAGAAACACTACATTTTGATGCCTGGCCGGTATGACTAGTCATTCGAGCATAAATTACCACCCTATTCAATGTTTATCTGTTTGTCTCTGACTTTTTTAAAGATTATTTTCTGGTCTTTTGCCTTTATTGGACAGTACAGACAAAGAGTGACAGGAAAGGGGGCAGAAAGAGAGGGGGCGATATGCAACAAAAGGCCCTGGGTTGGTATTGAACTCAATCCGCCGCAGTAAGGACACAGCCTTAGCACATGGTTGTACTAAGGTGCTTTTAACAGGTGAACTAAAACTAAAATGAACAAAATCTATCTTGCAGTGACTTGCAGCATCAGAAACCAACAAAAAAAGGCATTCTTTAAAGACAGCATGATACACGGCCAGTTGCCTTTATAGTTTAACAGCACCCAGCAGTGTAAGGGGGAAATGCGGCAGGACAAGGATGAAAGTAAAGGCGGCAAAAGTCAGAGTGGAGCAGGTAAGTCCAACAAACACTGACTTTCACCGGAGAGAGCTGTGTTCACATCCCACTAAACCCTGTTCTTTTTTCCTAAACCTAACCACTTGCAGTTGTTGCAACTGCAAGTGGTTGTCAATTTGCGGTGTTGTAACAACGTAGTGCGTTTATTTTGAAAGAGATTGTATATAACGTTAAATTTCCCGTGAAAACAGAATTGTATCTTAAAGAAGACAATGCACTTAACAGACAGAACTTGACACGGTGTCCCAGAACGTCAACAACCAACACACCAAGGATACCTTGCACATCGTGTGTGGACGTGGAAAGTCCATAACCAAGCACGTCAATATGTGACGAGGTCTGTGAGAATGTGTTTTCTGCAGGCACTGTGATAAAAGCAGTATATTTAGCCATATTATAAAGAATTTATCATATAGATGGACAGCAGAGAAATAGCTTGTTCTACATGGTAAGTCTTGGAAGTTTGCATGGATATTTAGATTTTTTTTTCCTGTGTGAAAACGCGCTGTGGAACTGGCCGTGAAAATGTGGCATGAATCCAAGTTGACTTCTAAACTCCAATAAGTAGCAGACAAACTTGTCCTGGCTCCTTTTGTAGAAGGGATAAGTGTTTTGTTGTCAAAAAATGCATTTGGGGTGGTTTAGTTCAAGAATGTAGGTTATAAAAAGTATATCTTTGGAAAATTACAGTAAACATATTTAAAGGAAATACTGCATTGGAAGTTAGTTGAAAACTTGTCTTACCTTCGTTTCCTCAAAGAAGGGATCATCTGATGTCACTAATATGTAGAATCTATACTTTGTTTTACAGGATTTCTTCACAACTGAATTCAGTTTACTGCGGAAACTCTCATCCATCTCCCTCTTCATTTGATGACAGAAGTCAAAATGGTTACTTGATTCAGTCTTCAGGTAACCTCGATCCATCTTGAAGTGCTTGGGTGTGGATGGAACCTTTTTGACAGCACAAACATCATTCATCTTTGCCTCATACAGCCTGGCACACTCTGAGGTCACGCAAGATATCCCAGCATGTTTCATTGGGTTCCCTGTTCCTTGAGATGTTTTTTTAGAGTAAAAAGTCTTTTCTTCCTTTGTGGTGTCTGTCAGGTCTTTCCTGTCTGACATGTCTACCTTGATTTTTTGTCCAACAACTGACAGTGGATCCAAGTGTGCGTTCAAGTGTTCCACTGCATCCTCCTGCTCTTCTAGACTAGAAAACTGCACAGTCACAGGACTGGCACAAGACAAGTGCAATTTGTCATGTGTGTCCATGGTGAGTCCCCTCTTACTTCTTTTCAAAAGCTGTCTCATTTGTTCTGAGAAGATAAGGCACTCCTGTTCCATTGATGCCTCAGTGATGTCATCTTGTAGGCACCTCCGAGAGACTTGCTCAAGAAAAGAATAAGGTCTCTTCTGGCTGGTGTTATAGACCGTACACATGAGTGAGCTTTGAGGGTCGAGAAGGAGACTGTCATCCATCATGCCACCATCTTTGTAATCCGCACGTGAAGTCGATGTGTCTGAGCATCCTGTTTGATCCACTGCAATGCCCTCTTTAGTTGTTTGCCCAAATTTCTCAACTAAACTGTAGGTCATGAAACCTTGGTTTCCATCATCATGTTTAGAGGAACTTCCTGCAGATTCAAAAGACTGCACTGGGAGAGATGATGAAGGCATTTTGTTGAATTTTGAATTGCCCCTTCCTTGGTGCTGGTAGAAAGGATCTAGACATACAGATTGAGCTTTATCTGAGTAAGACTTACTGTCACTGACATTTGATAACCAGCTGCTCATTGAAGAATGCTCACTTGTCTCTTGCTTGTCATCATTTAGTCTTTCAGAGTTTCTCTTGTGTTTCTCTGTCTTTTTCTCCAAGAGCATTGTAGTGGGTGTGGTGTGTGTGACTACAGGGGTTTTAATCTGTTTATTTCTGGAGAAATGTGACATTGCAGCTTTTTCAATCAGTCTGTCTATAGAGATGCTGTCTGCTTGACTTTCATCACTCTTAGATGGTTTTACTGCCATGACAGGACGCTGACTGTACGCATGTGGTTCATGACTTATATTGGTCTTTGATGTTGTCTTATGCTTATCTTGGTCAATAATGTTTGGTTTAATAGCTTGCAAACTCTCAGTAGAGGGAACAGATCTGTAGGGATGACAATAATCTTGCCCTACCGAGGCTTCCTGTAATTTATCTGTTCTTTCAAAATAGTGTTGAGGAACTGATGAGTCTGTTTTCTTAAACTGCAACTTAACACCAAGTACTTCCTCTAAGTTTCTTTTGAAAGGTGATATGAGAAAGTGACCTGTTGATTCTGTCTGCAGTTCTTGTGAGGTAGGGGCTGCCCCCATTGCTGGCTTTGTATTGCTTATTTTCTGGTTGTTGACATCAGCTGAGGTGTGTCTTAGGGCTAAGCAAGGGGGCATGCACTTGCTCGTAGGATTAGGGGTTTGATCAATAGAGTGTTTCATATCAGCTGTCTCAATTTGGCTGGTTTTGTCAGTGTGGCTTGATTTGGGGAGGTACTTGTCTATACTTTGCAGAACTCTTAGAGTCCTTAGCTCAAGATCAGGGTGAAGATCGCGATGAGGCGTGGCATCCCTGTTTACTGTAGACTTGTGACAAAGTTTGTTCTCAAGTAACATCTCATCCTTTTGAGATGTCAGCCCTATATCAAGACATTTATGAGCCTTGTTTCTAGTGGTTTCACCACCACTAAAATCAGAAGCACTAGCACTAGGGCCAGAGCAAGGTAAGTACTCGTATGGTTTCTCATCCATAGTTGGGGTAGAGCACCGGTCGTCATACTCATTTTCCGAAACCACCAGCTGGTTGTTTTCACTTCCATGAAGAAGTGATAGTGATATTCTGCCAGCAGGTAATTCTGCCTTTTTACTGTACATTTGAGATGTACCACACACCTCTGTGGGTAGGACAGTTTCAGGGTAGTTAGTTCCACTGATAAATGGTATTTCTTCCTGGCCCTGAACAACTTCTTCAACCTTGCCTGGTGAGGGTGAGCCATGTGGTTGTACTGTATTGTCTTCAGAGGTGTCTATTCCAATAAATGGAATTACAACCCGACCATTGATCTTTTCCAATCCATCATTTATTTTGTCAATCTGTTTGAGATCTGTTTCTTGAAATAGTGTCACTTTGGCTTCACTGTGAAGTGAATGAGACTGATGATGAAACAGCTCTTTCTCAGTTACATTATCAACCTCTCCCTCAAATGATTGGGTATCCCCATCTTCATGGTCATCACAACTTAGACTGAAGTTTTCCATTACTTTAATTTGGCTTCCTGTTTCAACACTGTCATTTGTCTGGGGAATAAGCCCAGCTGAGTTAGAGCCATCTAATGAACAGTTGTTCTCATCAGACATGGCTAATGCTGCCGTTTGAATTGTCTTATCTGCCAAACAAACATCTTTTTCCAAATGTTCCTCAACTGCAGTTTCTTTAGCAATAGGCTCCATTTTTAAGGATTCTTCGGGAGATTTTTCTGAAATGGCTTGTTCGTCTGTCATCGCACTGCTGGTTGCACGAAGCTGTCTCAACTGTAAATCATGGCAAGCATCTTCTTCGCTGTTGACTTGAGGTGGTTCCTCATCCAATGGTGGTTTGTGATAACACTCTATGATGCCATCCTTTACTGAGTCTGGGCCATCACACATCATAGGTACTGGTTGATCACTCAGATCACTGTCAGCTTTCGCAGGTGAATCACATCTGTCTTGCTCATCAAGTCTGTCTTCTTTTCCAAGATGATCTTCATCTTCCATCACTTTACCTGTGTTTACTTCAGAACAATCCTCATCTTCATTTACATTTTCAACCTTGCCTGGGGAAACTGCTGTAGGTTTCTCCTGAGATAACTGCTTCTCATTTTCCAGAGGACCATTGCAGAGTACACCGGATTCTGTGTTTGTTGAATCATCACCTGTATCAACAACTGTTGCAGAAGATTCTACATTGTCTTCTTGCCATGGCTTTTCTTTCACTTCCAAGTTTTCACCCTCTTTGGAATCAATTTTATCATGCTCAACAGCATGGACCACATCATCTGCTTCCTTTTTGGAGTCTACTTCTTCATCTGTCACAGATTTAGATGAATTCCTTTCTTGTTTCTGCACTATGCTTTTAGCTGTATGTTCTGAATTTTCAATTCCAACAGGCTTATCGTTGCATTCACATGACATGTGGCCACTTCCTGGGCCTGTCTGATTATTTTCTTGCTGACTGGATGCACTTTTAATTTCCTCTTGTTCAAGAATGAATGTTCCTTTACAAGATGGTACATCTGTATCGTCCAAACTCCCAGCTTTTTGAGAAGGGGTACAAGTCCTCTTATCCTCAAAGGTGCTTCTGACATCATTCCCCTCACTGATAATCTCTGTAGAGTGCACCATCTTTTTGTAACACTAGAAAATGAAGAAGAAAACAGAATAAAAATGACATATTATCTATTACAAATGTCTTTCATTCAACTACAGGGGCACTTGCAGAGGGCAGACCCCCGCCAAGGTCAAATGCCTCATCTTACAATGTTAATCAAAGTGAAAAATAATTAGTGTATTAGCCCTGTCACACAAAATTCGTCCATGGCCCATGGTAAACCCTAAAGTTTCATGAAAATTGGACCAGTAGTTTTTCCCTAATCCTGCTAACAAACAGCAACAGAAAAACAAACTGAAAACACAACTCCCTTGGTGGACGTAATGAGGCCAGATAATTGCTGCCTGACATGTAGTCTCGCATGACCAGCCTCCCTTACTTCGGAATGGAGTCTGGGGACATTCGTCTTTCGTTTTGTAATAGAAATGGGCAGGGATATCCAGACCACGTGACGGCGTTGCCATAGGTACAGCACGCTGTAAATCCTTAATTTCTCCAATCTTGTGGATGTTGCAGCTCTGCAATATAGCTGAATCAAATGAAATCATATACATTTTAATCTCTTCTTGTGATGCATTGAATACTTCATTTCGAGGAACAGCAATTCCGGTGTAGGCGGGTGTAAGGCAAAGCTAATCAGCCCTTGGTCGAGGAAGTATGGAAGTACACGGATTTGGATCCAATCTCATCACTGCCGCTGGGAGCCAGTGCTAGTTCTATTACAACTCTCCTATGGGAATGTCCACAGACGACAGAGTCAGCCAGCGTGCTGACGTCTCCAGCATCTGTGTAAGAGACTACCTGACATGCAGGTGCATCAGTCATAAACAAGTGGCTACCACCGGGGCTGAAAAAAATGAAGCCAATGAGGAAGTGCTAAAAACTGCAGTTCCTTTAATGGCCACCTGAGGCTGGCTCAAAAGCCAGTCAAGCCCCATAGACACCCATGTTAAAATGCCCAACTTTACAGCAAAAATTAGCATGTTTAGAGCTTCATAAAGAAAAGCAGTTTCGGTCTCTTTGGCTAATTTCCCTGTACATGACTAGTGAACAGGGAGTGAATTTTTATTTAACTCACCCATTTAAATTGTATCAGTGCTTAAAGTTACGTATAATTAAGGGCATGGCTGCTTTAAGTGACAGGCTGTCTACAAGGTGTCACCACAGTCCATGAGTCAGTTCCAACCTTTCATCCAAATTCAGTCACTTTATGCTCAGAAAAAACAAATTGGGGTATGAAGGTATTCACTTTGAGTTTGCTTAATCCCTGTAGCTATCATACAGTCTGTCAGCAGCATGGATTGTGCAGTCCATCTGGGGAATTTGTGCATTACCAGAAAACGGCACAAATGTGACATGAGAGACACTGCACAGGGCTCTAGGAAAATGTACACAATCATCAATACTTATTCTGGTATATGGTTTAATATAGCGCAAACCATAAGGCACACAGGAGGCATCTTTGCGTGGTAGGATGAACTTGCAATAGACTACCCAATAGGGGAGATTAAAAGGGATAAAGGGAGCTGATGATGTTGACCATCTCTGAAGCTCACACCTTAGTCAACTGTAAATGATTCATTTCTGCTGGACCAGAAGCATGCATCCCTGTTTGAAGGTTTTACGTGGGAGCTGTGTTATCAGGGACAACAGTTTTTGTCGGAGTCTCCCATTGTAAACTGGTCCATGTATAAAGGCCAGAAAAGGAGTTATATGAAAGTTATTCTGAGAAGGCTACAACAGGGCATAGCCAACTTATCTGGAATGTGGAATATTTGCATCCCTGGTAAAGCCAAGCCTTGGAGAGAAGTCTACACAGGATTGCCTAGTAATTTGGCCTCACCCCATGCAGCTTTGCCAGTCTGAGCCTGAACAAAGGCAGAGCCTTTTCTGTTCTGGAGTCACTGCCCAAAAAAATTGAATAAAGGGTCTGGTACATGGTATGTTAAGTAGCAAGCAAAGGTGCAGGCCTTGTCTAGTTCAACACTAGCCACTGAAACTTGCAATCAATATGTGAATTGTCACCTTTGGTGTTGAAAGACCTGGTATTTGTCCACGAGGCAAAATGACACCAACTAGTTGGGCTCATTTCTGTGCTCGTGGATCGAAACTGGACTCTCCTTGTTCGTAGGCTGCTGGCCTTGTGGGTGTGAGGATATTCAAGTTCTGGTTGTGTGCTCATGCATTTGAGTTTCCCCTGGGGAATTGAAAGGGTAGACCATTGGTTTGCACCTACGTGCCAAATAGCAATTCAGAATCTTTATATCAGATAGTGGTGGAGCCTTGTAGATTGACAGAATAAACCTAAATGGTGTAGTGAATTAAATTCTGGATGTCCATCACAGCCTAAGATTTTTCAGCATTCCAAAGGAAGCTGGAGACATGAGGTCTCCAAAGTCTCTCAAAGTCTCCAATGCAGAGACAATTGTTTGGAACTGTGGCCAAAAGGTCTGAGGGGATTTGCAGAGGAGCTTGTGAATATTCAGATGCCATCGGAAAACAGTGGATTCGCCCTACCAACTCACCCTATTACCTTCAGTAGTTCTTCATTAGTTGTCCATAAATTATGCTGATGATTCTAAGTCTTCTACTATGTCGCAAGTTCACATACCTGGTCCTTATTAGTTTGTCTTTAAAGTAACAATAACATTAGAACCAAACCTGCATTGTGCTTGCCTCCTGTAGTCCCACAGATGACTTGGGTGTGTTCAACGTTTCACTAGCTTCTTTCCCATCACCGGACACAGAATTGTCTTTTCTGTTGACTTGTGGATCTGAAGTGACAATCTCTGCCTTGGAGTTTTTCATTGACAAGTCTAAAATTAGAGGTCCTTGGTCCAAGACAGAGTCATCCTTTTTGCTGAGGTCCAAAGCTTTTGAAAATGAAGGGTCTGAAGTGTCTGTTACACTCGGGAAAGGAGCAAACGAACTGGCCTTGAGCTCAGACTGAGCCGGGGCTGATACCATTCCATTGGACAATTCCAAAGAATCTCTCTCTTCTGAACATGAGTTCGAGTCAACATGAAAGAGTCTGGCTGTTGACCTGCTGTAGAACAGACCTATCCACATGTGGACGATAAGCCGGACCTCTTCACTGGTGTCCTGCATTGAGAAATCCCATGGGCTATCGAAGATGTGAGATGCACAAAAATTAGCTCTTTCAGTTGAATAATTGTGAATCAGATCATGCCATCTGAGCTAAAAGTCAACTTTACTGACTATCACCCACATTTGACAACTAGATACAAACAAGAATAGTACTGAAGTTATGTCAATGTAAAATGCATCTTTTACTTTTATGTTGCAATTTCTTGTTTAAAAAGGTAACAAAACATACATACCCATGCAAGGCTCGGACAATGGTTTTATCCTTTGAGTCACTTGTAAACTTGCTGTCTAGATTAAAGTCATAGTTTTCTTTCCACTGCTTTGTGACTTGGATAGATCCATCCTTGCTAACAAAGGTACGGGATTGTCTGAACTTTCTTCTGTGCCCCATGTGTCTTTTCAGGTATTCTGGAGTCCTGTGGTTTTGTTCACTTCTATCATCCTGGCTGATAGAGGGGTGTAGTGTATTAATTCCATCGCCATACATTGTCTGGTGATGGTGCAGCAGTCTCGTAGAACCACTTAAAGGGGATACCTGGAATGGTGTACCTGGCAAACCCAACAGTAGAGAGGAAGATGGGGGCAATGAGTAAGCATGTTCTTTAGATATCAAACCAACCAATTCACTGCCTCCCATAAGATGGCTTGGTGAAGGAGACTCAAGAGGCTGCATGGGTCTAGCAGCAGGCTGTCTAAGCAGAGCATGAAGGACTGACTCTTGTTCAGCACTGGTAACATCGTTTGTAAGGTCACTTTTCTTCAAACTTGTCTCAGGTTTTCTCTCAAGTGCTGGGTCTGGTTGTGGTGGAACCTGGTCATTACTGGCACTGAGTGCCAAGTCAGCAAGTAAGTTCAAAGCATCTGTAGATGAGCAAGCACTGTTCATTTTTTCCTTATCAGTCTTCCTGATAGAATTATCCCTAGTACACTCTTTGTATTTGAGTTTTTCACTGGCAAAACAAGCTGGGGTTTGAAAATGCAACCACCCTGTGAAGACAAAACAGAGGAGAAAAAAGAGAAACTGCATGAAAATAGAAAGTAGCACATTGAAAGCATTTGAAATATACCAATGTATATCTATTAGGAAACTGTCACCAACATGTAATATATTCCATCGTTTCAAACAACTGGATTGGTTTATTAAGCCAATAATGTTAGGTTTGGATGCAGATGCACAGGACAGGCATAATGCAGCTCAAGCAAGAGAAAAGCAAAAGCAAACTAAGAACTAGCAAAGACTTAACAAGCGCAAGTATAGCATGCTGAGGACAGTTGCAAAGGTGACAGATCCGAGACAGGGTCAGTCAGTTTCAATGTCATACACAATACTGAAGAGATTTTACACATCATGCACAAAAAACAAGCATTCCAAATTTCAGAATTTTGAAATATGACTTACATTTCTTTCTAACATATTCTGTAGAGATGCCTTGATGCTTTTTTAGCATTTTAATCCTTCCCCTTCTTGGAAAGATTGAAGGAGGCCTTTGTATGATTTGAGGTTGTTTGTCTAGAATGGTTTGTTCTTGTGTATCTGACGAGTCTTTCCTTTGTTGAGTGTCCTGACCTTCAGTTTTCTGTATTCTATCTGGTGTCGCTTTAGGGGTAAGGCCAAGGGCATATGCAAAAAGAGGGTCAACAGACAGCATCTTTGAAACTTCCTTGACATACACATTGGTATCCTGGACACTTGTAATTGCATAATTAGTCTTCAGCATCCCAGTATCTGAGTCAATTTTGCCCTTCTTCAGACAAGGCTCGGTGTCTTTGGCAGTATCTGCAGGTCTTTCCTCTGATGCAAGGTTATCAGTTTTTCTCTTTCCTCTTAGAAGAACTGATTTTAATTTACTTAACAGAAATTCACCTTTTGTAGCACACTTTGCTGGGGAGAGGGTATCAGTGCGTTTTTCCTGAACTGCTTCTGAGGAAGGAGTTGATGTGCCATCAGTCTTTGAAGAATGCACACTACTCTCTTGATTCAAAGTCAATGAACCATTGCCATCATCTGACGGTCTCACAATGCTGTGTTCAGAATTGACATCACTGACATTTTGAAGACAGTTCCCTCTATCCTTAGAAGTTGTGGCCTCTGTTTCATCCACTGCTGTCTCTGGAGCTGTGCTAGACTTGTACTCCATTTCGACTGCGCAATGAGCATTCTCTGAAGCACTGATCGACATTTTACTTTGGCACTCTTCATCTTTTTTAGGCTGAAGCTTATCCTTTAAAGACTTAATTTGATCAGCAATATCTGCAGAACCATGGGGAACCAAGATTCTTCCACATTCACTGATGATCGGTTTCAAGTCCCAGCGTTCCATTTTTTTTCTCAGAGGACAAGCTGCAAGTTCCATTAAAATGGTGTTTTCCAAAGTCTGCTTTCCCACGCCAGATTCTTTCTCCTCTGGTACTGCTAAACCAACATTTTTTGACAATGATTTTCCAAATATGCGCCTTCCCCTTTGTATTTTCCTTCTACCAATATCTGAGGGATTACTCAACTCTTGTTGGGCTGATGATTCCTTGGCCTGGCCTTCCAACTGACTGTTCAAGTTGTCATACTCCACTGGTGTTTTGAATTTTTTCAAACTGGGAGTCTCAAGGCAAACTTTTGATACTTTCTTCCGACCTCTGTAATAACCCCTGCGTAATTTCCTCCGTTTTGTTTTTGTGAGATTGGTGACCTCAGGGCAGTCCAAAACCTTTTTGGTTGTAACAGTGTCATCATTCAGAGAGTTCACTTCTGCCGTTTGCAATTTGGCCGCTGGAAAACCAGAAAGCTGAAAGTCATTATGCTTTGTTGCAGACACCGTACTGATCATACTTATACTCTCATCAGTGACAGTTCGTTCTGCCGAAGTGATGCTGACAATCAGCTCTGCAGGAAGGTCATCTGATGTAGGGGGAGTCAGAAGATTTCTTGCCCCCTTATCCGTTGTGATCAGCACAGTCAGATCAGATTTGCCAGTGTCTTTTGTAACATCTCCAGCTTGCAAATCATCTGGTACAACATTCTGAGGTGCAGGTGTTAAGTCTTTTTGTGCTTCAGCACTTGTTATATCCCTGTCCACAGATGTTGTACCATCTTGCAAATCATCTGGTATAACATTCTGGGGCAAAGGTGTTACGTCTACTTGTGCTTCAGCACTTGTTATACCATTGTCCACAGATATTGCACCATCTTGCAAATCATCTGGTATAACATTCTTGGACACAGGTGTGATGTCTTCTTGTGCCTCAGCACTTGTTATAACACTGTCCACTGATGTTTCAATGTTTACCGGAGATCTCTGACCTGTCAGCTTGTCTTCTAACTCCATACTAACAGGATTGGCTGGTGCCTCCTCAGGAGACGACAGACAGATGTAGACATCATCATCAAGGTCTTCGATTCGCTCCTCTTGCCCAGCTGCCAGGATTTCAGAAGCCTTTGACACTGGCAGTTGAAAAGAGACTGGCTTGCTCAGGTATGACCTGAAGCTCTGCCATGCCCTGTTAGTCCACTCTGGGGAAGAATAGAGGTGCTTGTGAGCATCCAGCACATCATACTGATCTGGAAAGATGCTGATTTCCCTTGAGGGACTTGCCAACCCAGGATTTATCAGAGCTGCGTAACTCTGCATATGCTGCGCCAAGACTTCACACAGCTCTTCATCTGGATAAATGGGGTTTTTCTCAACCTCACCCTCTGCATAACTTAGTACTGGTAGAACCCGCAGGATTTCAGATGACATGGCAGGCCTTTTCTGTTCAGATTTTGTGCCTGACAAATCAAGAAAGAGTACTTGTTTTTGATCTCTGCTTTTTTTCAACATATCAAATGAAAATATCCACTAATACACACATGCTGTATTCACCTCTTTGTATAACTTGTGAGACTGGAAACACAAACATGCCTTGCAGGACATCAGTACTGGACCCAGTATCTGGAAAAAAACACAAATGTACTGCATGTGGCTGACATAAAGATGAATCATGGTTGTAAAGAAAGTTAGAATTTTTCAAGTTTTGTCATACACTGACAACAAAATAATGTCATCATTTTCATAACTTACCATCATATTTGAGGAAATGGGATGAGTGCAACAGAATAAGAAAACCACCATCATTCAGCTGAATGGTGAGAGCCTGTGCATATATGAGAAAGTTTGTTAGAGTTTTTGGATGTTGGACAGGAAGTAAAATTAAACTTAAAAAAAAAAAAATTATCATGCAGTGCATACTGATATAAAAAGTAGACCAACTGTTGTAAGGCAAAGGAAATTGCCAATGCCATAACTATTGACTAGACAATTTACAGACAATGACTTGCAATTTTAACAATCAATTAATTGTTTAAGTCATTCTTTGATAAAAACAAAACAAAAAACAATCATTTCCTTGATACATTTGTAAAAATGTAAATGTTTGCTTAGTTTTCTGCATTTCATATCAGTTCAAATCAAGTGCTTTAGGTTTTCTGACTCTTAGCCACACTGAAAAAAACACAACTTTGGGCTCTGATGAATTGTGATTGGTATTTGTGATTTTTTTTTTTTTTTACATTTTATAGCATGACTGACTATGGCCTACAAACTCTGAAAGGTTGATAACAAACAGGAACTCACAAGATCTTTCTCCTTGATCTCCCGCAGAAGCAGAGAGAGTGATTTGGTTTCTTCTGCCTCGAAAGAAACCAGCTCACACAGGGTGCAGTACAAGCCGTCCAGAAAGACTGAAAGACAGCAAAAAGTACAGTACAGGCCAAAAGTTTGGACACACCTTCTCATTCAATGCGTTTTCTTTATTTTCATGACTATTTACATTGTAGATTCTCACTGAAGGCATCAAAACTATGAATGAACACATGTGGAGTTATGTACTTAACAAAAAAAGGTGAAATAACTAAAAACATGTTTTATATTCTAGTTTCTTCAAAATAGCCACCCTTTGCTCTGATTACTGCTTTGCACACTCTTGGCATTCTCTCGATGAGCTTCAAGAGGTAGTCACCTGAAATGGTTTTCCAACAGTCTTGAAGGAGTTCCCAGAGGTGTTTAGCACTTGTTGGCCCCTTTGCCTTCACTCTGCGGTCCAGCTCACCCCAAACCATCTCGATTGGGTTCAGGTCCGGTGACTGTGGAGGCCAGGTCATCTGCCGCAGCACTCCATCACTCTCCTTCTTGGTCAAATAGCCCTTACACAGCCTGGAGGTGTGTTTGGGGTCATTGTCCTGTTGAAAAATAAATGATCGTCCAACTAAACGCAAACCGGATGGGATGGCATGTCGCTGCAGGATGCTGTGGTAGCCATGCTGGTTCAGTGTGCCTTCAATTTTGAATAAATCCCCAACAGTGTCACCAGCAAAACACCCCCACACCATCACACCTCCTCCTCCATGCTTCACAGTGGGAACCAGGCATGTGGAATCCATCCGTTCACCTTTTCTGCGTCTCACAAAGACACAGCGGTTGGAACCAAAGATCTCAAATTTGGACTCATCAGACCAAAGCACAGATTTCCACTGGTCTAATGTCCATTCCTTGTGTTTTTTGGCCCAAACAAATCTCTTCTGCTTGTTGCCTCTCCTTTGCAGTGGTTTCCTAGCAGCTATTTGACCATGAAGGCCTGATTCGCGCAGTCTCCTCTTAACAGTTGTTCTAGAGATGGGTCTGCTGCTAGAACTCTGTGTGGCATTCATCTGGTCTCTGATCTGAGCTGCTGTTAACTTGCCATTTCTGAGGCTGGTGACTAGGATGAACTTATCCTCAGAAGCAGAGGTGACTCTTGGTCTTCCTTTCCTGGGTCGGTCCTCATGTGTGCCAGTTTCGTTGTAGCGCTTGATGGTTTTTGCGACTCCACTTGGGGACACATTTAAAGTTTTTGCAATTTTCCGGACTGACTGACCTTCATTTCTTAAAGTAATGATGGCCACTCGTTTTTCTTTAGTTAGCTGATTGGTTCTTGCCATAATATGAATTTTAACAGTTGTCCAATAGGGCTGTCGGCTGTGTATTAACCTGACTTCTGCACAACACAACTGATGGTCCCAACCCCATTGATAAAGCAAGAAATTCCACTAATTAACCCTGATAAGGCACACCTGTGAAGTGGAAACCATTTCAGGTGACTACCTCTTGAAGCTCATGGAGAGAATGCCAAGAGTGTGCAAAGCAGTAATCAGAGCAAAGGGTGGCTATTTTGAAGAAACTAGAATATAAAACATATTTTCAGTTATTTCACCTTTTTTTGTTAAGTACATAACTCCACATGTGTTCATTCATAGTTTTGATGCCTTCAGTGAGAATCTACAATGTAAATAGTCATGAAAATAAAGAAAACGCATTGAATGAGAAGGTGTGTCCAAACTTTTGGCCTGTACTGTATATCTAAGAATTGTGTCGAGACACTCCTTGAAAATGTAAATCCTGTGCAACAAGGCTGTTTTTTCTGTTTTTTTCTAACAGCACACCTTCACCAGAGTAGCAGGTTTCAAAGACAGCCCTTGGCAACAGCTTTCTCAGATCTACCATGGAAATGGCTCTGTCAATTTTCACCACTGGTGGCCTGAAATGGAAAAATAAGACAAAGCACAGAAAATAGGTTATATAATCTTAATTGTTAGACAGTTAAGAATAAAAAAGCATCTGTAATGTCTATGTGCACATTGTAACTTACAGTTCTGCAGGGATCAAGGCCCCTGCTGTAGACCTCAGCCCAACATCATAGAACAGGGTGCCTATTTGAAGCTGACCCTTCCACGGGAAGTAATGAAGAACTGGGGGCGAAAAAAATCAAATAAGTACATTGATATACTGTAGGTGTAAGAATATTTTATTAATATATTGCCAAATATTTATTACAAGGACATATTTTTTTAACAGTGGTACATATGAGCTGTTTATTGGGTTGATCTACCTTATGGCAGTGCTATTTTGTTTCTTTTTGAAAGCAATATGTTTAAAGAAACACAACTATGCTATTAATTACATGTTACTTACCAAGTTTTTTCTTCTCACTGAAAAGAGAAATAAGGAAACAACAAATCAATATGATTTAACTACCCTCAGTTTGTATGAATTGGTATTTGGTCATGTAAATGTAGTGCTGTGGCGATACAGTACCTTTTCTCCTGTGGTGCAGCAAAAGTTGCTTTGGTATCCGTATATGAAAATGATACAATGGCAAAAGGACAGGCAGCGCTGGGAGACTGAGTCGTTGCCTTGCTTTCATTATCTAGCCGCTCATACATGTAATACTGCAAGGACAAAACAAGAGGCACTTGAGCTGCCTGGTATCTCTGCAATTTTACCCTCTTAACATGCACTCATCCATTAATGTACTCAACAATAATGCACCCACAAGGATGCATCTACACACAGACAGATAAGACAGAAACACAGTTTCATCGCTAGTCACATGTCTCTTCTCACCTGGGTTCTCTCGAAGGCAAGAAAGGAGCTGGTATTGGCAGACACTGAAGGCAACTGTTCTGACACGTGACAGTCAAACCCCACAGTGGGCACAGTGAAATTCTGGGTGTAGTTCTCTATAACCTTTTTAACTCTACCCTGTTGGTGACGCAAAAAGACAGTGTTGTTGTTAATTATTTTCTTTGAGCAAAAACACAACGCCTCAGACAAATATTTCACAACTGCTCTTCTTCAGTACCTTTGTCAGCCTGATGATGGCAATGTATCCAGATTTTCCATGATACCAGCGATTTTGATCCAAACAGTCAGAGTACATTGATATGTAAACACCTGAGTGAACACAGAAAACTTTCATTTAGTGTGTGTTCAATTAAAAATAAATACAGGGAGGGTCACTTATCAAGATTTGAGGAAACCATAAAAAAGCTACAATTATTAACTCATGACTTCAAAGTGTCTTTACAGACAACTGACACTCCTACAGCAGCAAGGCCACACCTTGAAAGATGATTCTCAGTTCCCACAAAGCAAATCAATAAACTTTGATTCCACAAGGAGAAAGTGTAGTCTCCCATCAGCAGAAAGTACCTCTAATGGCCACCAGATAGTAGGACTTTAATAGTTACTTTCACTTCTTCTACTGTCTCTTGGTGAAAATTAAAATTACTGACAGGAGTCCAACATGAGCTGGCTGAAGGACAAAGGGCGGGTGTTGCTGCTTCCTCATTTAAGGCCACATTTACAGGCCTGTTCATGTCTTACAACATAGTGTACTTTCTGAGGTGAAGCATGAGACAATTATGGCAAGAAGGAAAAAAAAGTCAGGTTATTGTCAATCATGCTTTAGAAAGACACAAAAGCACTACACACAGTATAATTAAATAATCACAATATAATGGCATCTGAATGGGGATAGATACTTTAAGACACTTTAAGGAATACTTTGCAGATTTTTTAACTAGCTTCATAACAATGTGGGCAGTATGTGTAAATGAACTGTTGTAAACCTCCCTCCATCTTACAAGCAGCCAGATTGGCCTGCCCATCTCTCAGGTCAAACTTGCGTTTTTTGTCATCCTGTAGATTTTTGCTGGCTTGAACTACAAATTGCACTTTTTTGAATGCTTCCCACCACAGAGGCAGAGAATATAGAGTGGTGCATGAATGAGTCCTAAAACCAGGAGGTGAGTTAGCATTTTAGCACTCCGTGTTCACTCCTCTTGTAGTCAGTGGGTTTTTGTTTGGATGTCTGAAATAAGATCTGTGCTTTACACAAGCTTAAGAGACTTTCACGTTTTGTTCTATGACATAAAATGACATAAATACCCCCTTGTCAATTTTGAAGCTGTAAGGTGTCTTAAAAATGGCGGCTGCTAAAAGGTGGCTAACTGAGACTACAGAATGTTTTCACTTTGAACATAGATTTACAAATGCATTGCAATGGTGACATTAAGTTATGCGACTGTGGTGTAGTTTGTTTTTAGCCAAATGTTAGCAATTGCATTTACGCTTTAAAAATTACATAAGTGGTCAATTTGCGAAGATTATCTTGCTGAACAAAATGTGTAAGTATCATAAAAGTTTATTTGCCAGGTCAGTATGTTAGGTCATGAGACTGTAGTGTAGTTAGTTTATAGTCAAATGTTAGCGTTTTACTTCTAGCGATTGCATTTACGCTTTAAAAATCATAAAAGTGGTTGATTTGCATAGATCATCTTACTGAACAAAATGTGTAAGAATCATAAACTCTTGTTTGCCACAAAGATTATTTTCTGCAATACTCTAAAATCCAATGGAAAAATCCCACTGGCTTTTTGAAGAGGGAACTAGGGTGACGCCAACTTCCGTGTCGGCCTACAAAAAAACCCTCTCAAACTCAGACCAAACTCAGATCAAGCAGTAAAACTAGGCACTGCTGATCAAATATAAACCAAGATTCTGTTACTGTATTGCCTATTTCTCGCCTAAAATATCTTCTGAGACATATTTTTGTGCTCTGTTTGGCTGTAATACAAAAAAATCTGAACAGGAAGGAGGCACCATAATATTTCCTGTATTGTAAAAATGGAGGCTGAAAAAGCTGAGATCAAATGTTGAAACTCAGCAGGGCTGATAAAATATGAACCAAGATTCTGTTACTTCTGGTCCAGTGCAGCACAGTGCATTCTGGGAGTTGTAAGTTTTCTACCTCCTGAGCAAAAGCAAAGGCCACAGCCCTTTTCCTGTTGTTTTTTCTCTGGTCATGGTCATGTAGCACCAATGTCAAAAGTATTTGTGTCTTTCTACAGCACAGACAGCCTAGTTTTATGAAAAGACCATCTTTCAAGCAGTGAAATATGTTTTTAACAATGAGCAACATTCAGGTAAGATCTCTCTGGTACAGATAAGGTCTCTCAGGTTGCAATTCTGAACGTAGGAGGCTAAACTAAGAGCCAATAACTGGTTTGGTAGGTTTGGTGTGGCCTTTATACTCCTCTGCAAGCTTTGTGCTGACAAAGTGAAGAAAGTTACAACATATTTGAAGAAAAAAAAAAACTAGCTGTATGACCTTCCCAGATGTCTCTATCTCTTTCAGCCATTTAAAATGCAGTCATACTGTTAAGAATGAGTGCGTCTGTTATGAGAGGGTATAACACCATTGCAATCTGCACAGGAACTAAAACATATCAAAACAGGCAGAGTGAGAAGCACAACACAGATTAACCCTGTGCAACACTCAATTACACGTGACACAGTGGAGCTCTTGTTTCATGTGCCACTCCAGTGTGATTTTACACCACGGTACACAAAGAAAACAAGGACTTTGACCAATGTTTATACACTTATCACAGCCTAAAGCAGGCCAAGAGATATTAGACAGGATCTCTGAGAGGAAACATTTGAAATGTGCAGTCACAAAGAAATCATAGGAGTACTTGTCACAGTTAAATGAGATCCATGTTACAGTGCAGTCACATACACAGTTAACTTCTTTCTGCCTTCGACACAATGCATATCCTGAACTCAACAGTTTCTGTTTCACAACAGAAATTCTTCCACTTTCATTTATAGACATTCATACAGCTATTTAAGTTGCTTTCACTTTCAGAGGCAGGGGAGCACCAGACACTCAACATGGACTATTCCTTTGCTTGATCTGCACTACAGACAGGACAGGGTGCATGCATGGGCAGTGTCCTGGATAAGACCATCAAGGTAATAACTTTGAATAAAATACTTCAAATAAATGACAAAGACTTGATGTAGTTCTTTTAATTTTTTAAACAAGTCTCCACTGAGTATATCTGAGTTACATGCTACACAAACTCTTGTGTACAAATCTTAACTTGGTGTTTTCACTACTGAATTTTGGTCACGCCTGAGCTGCCCATACTGAAATGTCAATGTCATTGTGATCACACTACTGGTTGTTGACACAGTGACAGTACGAGAGGTCGGGGGGGGGGGGCTCAACTCATCATAATTTACCATTTGAAGGATCTCCCAGCGTCGTACATGTGCTGTTTCCAGTAAGCACACCGGTTTCTCCAAGCGCATTAGCCTTTAAACAAATAAAAATATCAATATCAGCAACATCAGCGAGATTTGTTGGAGCATGTTTTTGTCTCAAGTGTGCCAGCGTCTCAAGTGTTTTACCTTGTTGACATCATCAAACAGCAAAAACCCATAGGACTCCTTCAGGTCCTCCTCTGAGTATCCTGCTTGTCTTCTATTTTCTCGGAAAGCATAATACTACCACGAAAGAAGAAATCAGATTGGGAGCTGTCAATGTCATGTTTGAAGCTCCTCTCATAGCATTAAAGGGCAGTTCCTATGTTCACACAGTCATTTTATTCTTGGCCAAGACTTTTCAAATACAGGATATTACATAAAATCACTGCTAGTGGTGAAAGGATACAGTAATCGAAATAAGGGTGTGTTCTGGATATTTAAAAGGCATTAAAAAACCTGTGCAGCTGTTGATTACATGTGCACACATTTAAGGTTAACCATTACACATGGCTTAATGTTTAATGCCATCTAATGTTGGGACATGAGGAACAGGATGTGGACTGACCTTTTCTTCCAGTGCTGGATTCTGTACCAGGACAGCAGACTTGTATCTGAAAGACTGCTTTGACTCCTCATACAAGTACGCACTTTTGAGTGGAGCCAAAATGTTGTTTTGAAAGACGACAGAAGTTTCTGAGACAGGTACTAAAACACCTAAAAGTAGACACAAATGCAAACTTTAGCACAATATACACGCCATAATGGCGAAATTATAACAAACTGCGTTTTCGTTTTTCAACTGGGGGAAAAGTTTCCGAGTTATTTCACAAGGCTGGGACTGTTTGTACTGAGAGACACGACACCTTATCTACGCGTCCCTTTTCTGTCTAATCACGCATCAACGGCAGCTCTATACCTCTTCTAGCTATGCGTAGAAGGAAATAAACATCCAACCTATGTTTTCTTGTTAACCCTAAAGTGAAAGTTACACGAGGGCATTACAAAAAAAGCCAGTCACCTTTACTCGAGGCACCACCATTTCCACTTTCCATTGCTGAGCACTTATGAAATCTGTCGTTTTCCCTTTGCCCATCCGTGGAAACAGCTGTGTCTGGTTTTAAACATAACAGAATAATAAAATTCCATGTATCCTGGGTCCAGACAACCTTTAGTAACTTGAGCTCTCGCCGCAGTTTCAACAGATATATTAATGCGACAACCAGGAAGTTACAAAATAAGCGACAGTCCGAACACGTAGGCACAAAAATATCCACTAAAATCCACTTTTATCGTTTCACGGGTGGTAAATCCGTTAATGTGAATAAATATCCTCAGTGTTCGCGTGGGGGGGATCGCCGCATGTAGAGCCCGTTTCGAAAAAGAAACAGAAACCTATCGACGCAAAAGCATCCATCTTGAAAGTCTACACCAAACTGGTGGTGGTGAGGCAGTTGTTGAAGCTAGTCTGCGCCTGCGGTTCACTTCTACTGTCTGTGTGTGTGTGTGTTTGGGGGGGGGGTAATGAGTGTGTTTTCCTCTTTCCAGTGAAAAATGAATTTTTACTGACTCTAAACGATCTGGCATTGATAAAAACCTATGTTTCCACCCTTAACTTGGTAAAGCCTGACAGTCTTTTGAAGGTTATGATATGGATTCTGTAATATCTATTTATGTATAGTCTAGTTTAATGGAACTGGAAAGATTAAAGGGGAAGTTGGGATCAGCGGTTACACACATTTATTTTACACATTTTTACCACCCTCATTGAGGAAGCACCAAACTTAAGATTCAAGTTTCTGACCAAATTTGGATTTTAGACCATTCTGCCAGAATCATTCAACATTATCAATAACCCAATATGAGGTTTAGTACCTTTTAAATCTCCATCGAACAATATTTGATAGCTTGACCTTGAATCCCTGTGTCGCAGAGTGCTCCAAGGATTATGTTATTCTGTAGTTAGCGTTGCCTTGGCTCCCTCGTCAAAAAGCCTATGGTTTCTAGCTGAATTTGGATTGAAGACCATTCTGCCAGAATCATTCAAAGTCTTTAATATGAGGTTTAGTACCTTCAAAAGCTCCATCAAACAATATTTGATAGGTTGACCTTGAATCCTCGGTTCCCTTGTTAAAAAGACTATGGGATTTTTCCATTTTGTATTTTGGATTAATGCCAAAAATAAAATCTGTGGCGAACAAACGTTGATGGTACTTACATGCCTTGTTTACCAAGATCACCGTCACAAATTAATACCAATTTTTTGATTTTTGAAGCCTCAATGCAATCTCCAAAAGTCAAAGTCTAAGTGCTAACACATTTAATTTTACACATTTTAATACCCCCAGTGAGGCAGCAACTAACTTTAGTTCCCAGTTGTATCATTATTAAGGGTGAGGTATTTACAGTATATAAATAAACTAGTAAGTGATTTTCAACTGAATTTGGATTGAAGACCATTCAATCCAGTCTTCAATAACCCAGTATGAGGTTTAGTACCTTTAAAAGCCCCATCAAACAATATTTGATAGGTTGACCTTGAATCCCTGGCTCCCTCATCAAAAAGCCTATGGGATTTTTCCATTTTGGATTTTAGATTATTACTGAAAATAAACTCTGTGGCAAACTAATGTACAGTGCCCTCCAAAAGTATTGGAACAGTGAGTCCAATTCGTTTACTTTTGTTGTAGACTGAAAACATTTGGGTTTGACATCAAAAGATGAATATGAGACAAGAGATCAACATTTCAGCTTTTATTTCCAGGTATTTACATCTGGATCTGATACACAACTTAGAAGATAGCATTATTTGTAATGGAACACAAAATTTTTAGGTGAGCAAAAGTATTGGAACATATAAACTTAAAATAGATTAAAGTGAATGAGACTTAATATTTAGTTGCAAATCCTTTGCTTTCAATAACTGCATCAAGCCTGTGACCCATTGACATCACCAAACTTTTGCATTCTTCTTTTGTGATGCTTTTCCAGGCTTTCACCGCAGCCTCTTTCAGTTGTTGTTTGTTTTGGGGGGTTACTCCCTTCAGTCTCCTCTTCAGCAGGTAAAATGCATGCTCTATTGGGTTTAAGTCCGGAGACTGACTTGGCCAGTCTAAAACCTTCCACTTCTTGCCCCTGATGAACTCCTTTGTTGTTTTGGCAGTGTGTTTTGGGTCCTTATCTTGCTGCATGATGAAGGATCTCCCAATCAGTTTGGTTGCATCTTTCTTTAAATTAGCAGACAAAATGTTTCTGTAGACTTCTGAGTTCATTTTGCTGCTGCCATCATGTGTTACATCATCAATGAAGATGAAAGAGCCCGTCCCAGAAGAAGCCATGCAAGCCCAAGCCATGACATTACCTCCACCGTGTTTCACAGATGAGCTTGTATGTTTGGGATCATGAGCAGATCCTTTCTTTCTCCAAACTTTCGCCTTTCCATCACTTTGGAAAAAGTTAATCTTTGTCTCATCAGTCCATAAAACTTTTTCCCAGAAGTTTTGAGGCTCATCTCTGTACCTTTTGGCAAATTCCAGCCTGGCCTTCCTATTCTTCTTGCTAATGAGTGGTTTGCATCTTCTGGTGTAGCCTCTGTACTTTTGTTCATGAAGTCTTCTGCGAACAGTAGATTGTGATACCTTCACTCCTGCCCTCTGGAGGTTGTTGCTGATGTCACTAACAGTTGTTTTAGGGTCCTTCTTTACAGCTCTCACAATGTTTCTGTCATCAACTGCTGATGTTTTCCTTGGTCTACCTGTTCGACGTCTGTTGCTTAGTACACCAGTGGTTTCTTTCTTCTTCAGGACATTCCAAATGGTTGTACTGGCTATGGCCAATGTTTGTGCAATGGGTCTGATTGATTGTCCATCTTCTCTCAGATTCACAATTGCTTCTTTTTCACCCATAGACAGCTCTCTGGTTTTCATGTTGGTTCCACCTCTAAATGCAGTCTGCACAGGCAAAACCTATCGTACGCAATCTGAAACTGAGCTCAGACATTCAGTGCTATTTATTGTTTGAATAATCAATGTAATTGGGAGACACCTGGGCAACAAAACACACCTGTCAGTCACATGTTCCAATACTTTTGCTCTCATGAAAAATAGGTGGGTTCAAACAAAAGGTGCTATCTTCTAAGTTGTGTATCAGATCCAGATGTAAATACCTGGAAATGAAAGCTGAAATGTTGATCTCTTGTCCAATATTCATCTTTTAATGTCAAACCCAAATATTTTCAGTCTACAACAACAATAAAGGAATTGCCCTCACTGTTCCAATACTTTTGGAGGGCACTGTATATGACACTTACATGTTTTGGTAAGCAAGATCATCCTCACAAATGAGCACAATTTTTACGATTTTTGAAGCCTAAATACGATCTCCAGAAGTCAAAAGCTAACCCTATAAACGAACTACACCATGGGAACATGACTTCAACATCACCACCACAAGGCTGTAAAGCCATGTTCAGTGTAATGATGAGTCTGAATTCTGTAGTCCCATTTAGCCACTTGTTAATAACCACCTTTTGAACTATAAAGACTGAAGGGAAAGTTGAGATGAGTGCTAACACATTTAATTTTACACATTTTAAACATTCATTGAAGCACCACCAAATCTTAGTTCCAAGTTGTATAATTTCGGGTGAAGTATTTATGTAAACAAACTAGTAGGTGATTTCTGACTGAATTTGGATTGTAGACCATTTTGCGAGAATCATTCAAAGTCTTCAATAACCTGGTCCGAGGTTTGTTACCTTACAAAGCTCCATCAAGCAGTATTCGACAGGTTGACCTTGAATCTGTGTGTAACACGCTGTGCGTTCCAATATCCATACTATCATACTAAATAGTATGCCAGAAAAAAGATTTAGTACATAGTGTGTCAAATGCAGAATGCCAAAAAATAGCAGGATGTTCTACTACATCCTGCCTGTTTTTGCAGTATGCAAGCCAGCATGCTTTTTTGGCTATTCTGAGCCACAATCCTCTGCACAGCGGACCATATGTCACATTGACTCAGCAGAGATGACAGCTTGACAAGTCATTGACAGCTGATGGACAAAGATCGCGGTGATGGATGACAGCGCATTCAAGTAACTGATGACCAGTCAAACAGTAATAATAGGAATATTAATTAAGTGAACAAACTAATCATTAACATAACAAAAAAACATAACTATAAAATGACAATGAAAAAGAACTCCAGGTGTAATTTCACTGTCGCAAATATAATATATTAGAATCTACAATCTTCGCAGTTCTAACTTTAAAGTTAAACTTCATACATTGCAAAATAACAACAGCAGAGCTCTCCAGGTTGATCTCCGTCTTTAGCGAACTCTGTAAGTGGCGTTTGTTTTATATCTAAGGTAAGGGATATAAAAGCAAAGGGATCAAAGTTCAGGGCGTAATGTTATGAGAAAGTAGTATGTCCCGATTGTGTCCATACTGCATGCAACAGTACGTACTTTTTAAGGGCAACTGCAGAACCTACTAGAAGTAAAAAGACAAAGGTTGCGATTCAGAACGCACCCAGAGTGGTCCAAAGATGATGTTTTTCTGTAGGCTGACGTGGAAGTTAGTATTGCCCTGGCTCCCTCATCAAAAAGTCATGTTTCTCCCACTGGTCCCGCCCACAAGTTCCCATTTGGCTCATAGACTTTACATTGTGATGACTTCATAGAAAGTCCAAGAAAGTTTTACAAATATAAAACAACCGTGGCTCAAGGCTCATAGTGGCCTGTAGGGAAAATGCTATGTGCGCCGCAAGAGATTTTTTCAGCTGCAATACTGCAAGTGGCCACTGGGAAACATTTGCTGCAAGGCTGAGCCTGGGGGCCTGTCATTCCCTCGTCAAAAAGCCTATAGGATTTTTCCATTTTGGATTTTTGCTGAAAATAAAAAAAACTCTGTGGCAAACAAACATGTATGATACTTACATATTTTTTCATCAAGATAATCAGCACAAGATAATCGGCACAAATGAACACCACTTTCATGATAACTGAAGCCTAAAAGCAACGCCAGAAGTAAAAAGCTAACGTTAGGCTGTCAACAAACTACACTACGGTTACATGACCTAATGTAGTAACCTAACCACCATAAATAGACTGAAAAGCCATGTCCGACGCAGCTTGGCGTGGTGAAATTCTGTAGTCTCATTTAACCACTTGTAAGCAACCAGCTTTTATGAGACACACAGAAGCTTCATATTTTACAAACCATTGACTTCAAAACAAGGAAACCAGGAGTGCTAAAATGCTAACTCATTTTTAGGACTCATTCCTGAAGCGCTCTATATTAAATGGTCAGAAGTAGTGCCTGACCAAGTGTTAACCTTTGGGGCTCGCCTTTACGCTGTCAGCAGAACTGTGCTGAAACGACATCTGTGTAAATGGGACACCCAGCAGGACAGGACTGTGGACGAGACAGGTGTG